TATATATATATATATATATATAATCAAAGGAAAGGGGTGGCTAGCAGTAGAAGGAAACCGTAGGGCTTCCGCTTTGCACCCCCCAACAAACACTGCGTAGAAGAGGGCAAGTCTCATAGGTGTAACCCACGCGTACAAGTATAAATACAGAGTGAAAAACAAAAGGGAAAATAAAAAAGAAAAGAAAAAAAAAACGAAAAATATACAAAAGTAAAAAAAAAAAAAAGAAAGAAAGAAAAAAACGTTTAAATACAAAAGATTCAAAATAATTTTGGGGACAAAAAAAAACTGGGGAAGCCACATACAAACATACATTCTTAGTAAACTTTTTCCAATGATCTCAACGAGTCAATCCCCTGATCTTAACTCAACCTCTTCTAGACGCGCTAGTGGTAGTAGCGGTCATCAGGCCAACAGAACCTCACAAAATGTCACTGAGAGTATGTATTCACCACCAGAACCGGCAACTAGTGAAAACAGTCCATGTAAGGTTTCGGGTGCCCATGGTGGTACTAATATTGATTCTTCACCTAATTTTACACAAGCTCTTGAGAAGGGAGAGAGAAGCGAAGGGCAAAGGCACGCATTTCATCCCAGACGTGGTTCTTGTCATCGTCATGGGGCTATCAGTAGTAGTCATCGTGGGAGTACATCTTCCACCTTTGTTGAATCTGAACAAGAGTTTGATTATGTACTTGGTGTTGTGAATCCCGCCTCTGGTGAGTGTAATGCGGCACAGTATGTACTTCGTTCTATGCGCATGTTATTAGGTGGAGATCGTGTGATAATATTAGAAGATTCACTCTTTGCAAATCCAGCACCTCTGCATGAGGCGATACGCAATCATGCAGTACGTTTTATTCGAGATGGAAACACTACAAGAGGAACCACAACAGGGAATATTAACGGAAATAGTAATAGTAATAATAGTGGTAGTAGTAGTAGTGATAACCATAAAAAGAAAAATCATAATAATATTAACAACAACAACAACAACAACAACAGGAATGGAACCATTAATATAGGGAGTTCGAGGAATGTCTTCAGTGGAGTTGAAAAACGAGGTACCATCATTGTCTCTGGTGGTGATGGTACCGTTTCTTTTGTAATGGAACAATTAGATGTAGTACGTGATTTAATTGAAAAAAGTATCTTGACATCTAAAGAAGAAGAAGAAGAGAGTGAACCTTATCAAACAGGTTTAATGAATGGTAGAGGAGGAATGGGAATGCAGTTTATACTTCCTGCAGTAGCGGTTCTTGCACTTGGTACAGGTAATGATTATTCAAACTGTGTGGGCTTTGGTGGGGGATATACACAGTATAAAGTCTCTGGACTCTGCTGTTGTGTGGAAAATCCAATTGAGCCTCTTATTCGTGATGCTATTAGTGCCCCTGCAGTTCCCTTTGATCGCTGGGTGGCACAACTCGCACCTCTTTCAGCCATTTGGGAACAACAAAGACAACAACAACAACAAAAAAAAAAAAAGAAAACAACAAAAAAAGATGGAAAAGGAGAATCTAATGTTGGAATAAGTAGGGTTGAAGGAGAGATGAAATTGGATACTTACGCTATCGATTGGAATGCTTTATATAGTTCAGGGAAATGTTTAAATTATCATTTTATCAATTACTTTAGTATTGGATTTGATGCCTATGTATTGCAGAAGTTTGATAGCTTTAGGAAACGACATCCACGGTTTTGTAGAACACGATGGAATAATAAACTTGTGTATGGAATGTATGGATTGAAGGCTGCTTTTAGATGTACATCGCTGCGATCATCTATTCCCGCTATTTGTGTTCCCCAACTACTGCAAAAGACTAATAATAATAATAATAATAATAATAA